TCCTGTGTCATCTGTATGGGACCTGTGAAAACCCATCCTCTCTCCCCGGAAACAAATGAAGTGCCTGGTGGTCAGAACCTCTTCACTGACAAAGATGTCATCTCACCGGTTGCCTGCTCTGTGCCAGGCACTGAAGCAGTCTTGGGTGGAAGGTACAGGCAAACACCATACCTGCATCCACACACTATCCAGTGGGAACACGGAAGGCCAGCAGGTCAACATGCTAATTCAGTCAAGTGTGGCATGGGCTCCGATAGGGGACTGAGGGGTGTCATAGAGGCAGTGTGTTTCCTGAGATACAGCCACATCTAAGGCTTTTGTGTGGGTATGGATATATCCCTCCAAGGCTCACACTTTGAGACTTAGCTCCCAAAATGGTGCTATTGGGAGATGGTAGAATCTGCAGGAGGGAAGGTGTTAGGAGAGACCCTCAAGGTTGTGTCTTCACTGGGGATTTGGGACACCAGCAGTACACTCAACTCTCTGTTTCCTGGTACATGGTGTAACTTACTCACTCTACTACTTGCTCCTGCCACAACATGCTGCTGTCCCCAGGGACCCAAAGGTATGAGATTGCCTAATCTTGGATAAGAACCTTCAGAATGACAAAGAAAATAAACTTTCCCTCTTTATAAATATATTGTTTCAGTATTTCATTATAGTGACAGAAAGCCAACTAAAGCAAGGAGTGAGGGAGAGGCCATGCCTAAAAGCAACGTTTCTAATGCCTGCATCCGGGAGAAGAGCAGAGAGAAGAGGCCTGAAGCAAACTCTCGAGAGTTATAGCACTGGGATCCTCAGCCCACTTTGTGGTGGAATGTAAGACATCAAAGAAAATGCCACTTTTGTAATGAGATGGTTTTATTAACAATCCATTCCCTAAAGTAAGCGAAGCCTGAAGGCTTAAAACAAAATACTTTCAAGTTGATTATAATGCAGCCACGTAAAACTACACCACATTTTCTAAACACTTTACAAGCTCAGTAGATTCCATACATTGAACTCTTCCAGGCTAGAGATATGTGCTATGGCGTTCTGTCACAGTGCAGGGCAATGACATCAAGCCACTGCTCTGGACTGGGGACTTGATTACAAGGGGGACATGAGAAGATGCTGCAATGCATTGTTGTTGCCAGGGCTTCTGGACACAGGCATTCAGTAATTAACAAACAATCATCAGCATTGTCATTTTGATTTGCTTTCTACGACTGCAGTAAATACCGAGACCAAAAGCAACTCAGGGAGGAAAAGTATTTCACTTTACAGCTTACACTCCATCATGCAAGGAAGTCAAAACAGTAACTCAGAAAAGCAGCCACTGAGCAGAGGCTATGGGGGAACAGAACAGTGTTGACTGGCTTGTTCTGCAAGACTCTCTCAGCTTGATAGACAACCTGGGACCACTTGCCCAGGGTGACACTGCCCACAATGTCAAACATTAATGAAGAAAATGCCTACAGACATGTCTACACGCCAATTTGATGGAGTGAAACGCCTCGGTTGAGGTTCTCTCTTCCCAAGTAACTCTACCTCGTGTGCACTTAACACTAATCAGAGCAAGCAAACCCCTGATCAGCTTGACACACAAACATGCCACTATTAAACCATAGCCTTTTCTTACTTGTTTATCCCCAATATCACAATATAAAATACAATCCACCTTTAAAAGTCCCACAGTCTTTTAAGAGTTCAGTCTCCTTAAAACATCCAAAATCTCTTCATTGTGGGTCTCCTCACAATCAAAAATAAGTTACAGACTTTCTTATTCCAAGAAGGAAAGAACCAGTCACAGTTATAATCAAATCTAAGCAAAACCATGCCTCGATGATGGCGACTTCTACAACTACAGCTGATTTTTTAATTTATTTATTTCCATTTAAATTAGAAACAAGCTTTTTATATATGTCAATCCCAGTTGCCTCTCCCTGCCCTCCTCTCCTGCCCCCCACCAACCCCTTATCTAATTCCCTTTTTGTTCCCCAGGGAAGGTGAGGCCTTCCATGGGGAAATATTCAATGTCCCACAGCTGTTTTTTTTTTTTTTTTTTTTTTTTTTTTTTTTTTAGCTAGCTAGGGCTGGTTGTCCCAGTAAAGCAAAGGTTTCAGAGTTGCTGGTCTCTGGTCTCTGGTCCCAGCTCTCCAGCAACCACAGATTCTTAATTAAAATATTATATGAATTACTCTGATAGAATCCTTGCTTCCTTCTGAAACTTCACAAGCCAGGCCTCTATTGCCTGCATTTCTATTGCCTGTTATTTTCTTCCAAGATCCCACAGAACATCCCATTAAGCTCTGAGAACTAATGACTTCTCTAGCCTAAGTTTCAAACACTTCCATAATCCTCCTCCAAAACAACATGGGTAGGTCTCAGACCACAACAGCCCACTCTCTAGTACTAGTTTATGTCCTGCTTTGTTTTCCATGACTGTGATAAATGCCATCCCCAAAAGCAACTTAAGGAATGGGTTTATTTCAGCTTGCAGTGTATGTATAGTCAGGACAGGAACCTGGAGGCAGGACCTGAAACAGAACTATCAAGTTGAGGCAGGGCCAGCCAGGTGTTGGTGGCGCACACTTTTAATCCCAGCACTCAGGAGGCAGAAGGGTCTCTGTGAATTCGAGTCCAGCCTGGTCTATAGAGTGAGTTCTAGAACAGGCTCCAAAGCAATACAGAGAAACCTTGTCTCGAGAAACCCTGTCTCAAATATCCAAACAAACAAACAAACAAACAAAACCCAAACAAAAAAAGTTGAGGCAGGACCAAGCTTCTCTCCCTGCCTCAGGGGCTGGGTGAGGCATCCCAGCATGGGGAATGGGTTCCCAAAAGCCAGCTCATGCACCAGGGACAGGTCCTTATCCCATTGCTAGGGGCCCACAAATAGACCAAGCCACGCACCTGTCAACCACGTGCAGGGGGCCTACCTAGGTCAGTCCCATGTCGGCTCCCTGGCTGTCAGTCCAGTGTCTATGAATTCCCACTAGCTCAGATCAGCTGTCTCTGTGGGTTCCCCCATCATGATCTCCATCTCCCTGTCAGACAGTTTTCTTACAGAACCTAGGACCGCCTGCACAGGGGTGGTACCTTCATTTATCATTGGGATGATCTACAGCCTGCAAGCTGAAATAAACCCTTTGTTCACCGAGTTGATTTTGGCCATGGTGTTTGTCATAGCAACAGACAGCAAAATAGAAAGATCTTGCACAGTTTCATGTTTGAGCATTCAGTCGCCCATCTCATGCCCCTTACCCTTTATTTTAGGTCTGTGGGTTGAATACAGGGCTTCCCTGCATGCTAGAAGATCAGAATGTCAATAGAAATACAGCAGCAAGTGTTATGCTCATAAAGTTTCAGATGGCTATGAAGACCATATTGGGAACAGGACTCGGGGTCATTCCTGTCACACCATGATGAAGAATCTAGACGGATTTCAGCCTTTTATTGAAGTTGAATTCAAAAGTCATGGATTAATATATCTGGTAAGGGAAATTTCAAGCCAGCACAGCACATAGGCTGTGGCATGGTTATCACTGGCTGTTTTTAACCAGATTTACAATGAGAACCACTGAGAATAAAAGGTAGATGTCTTACGGCTTTTTAGCAACTCTTATAAAGAAACATTTAATAGGGCAGGGGATTCTCATATAGTTTCAGAGATTCAGTCTATTATAATCATGGCAGAGAGCAGTTGGTGTGCAGGTAGATGTGGTACTGGAGCTCAGAGCCCTATGTCTTGGCTCAAAGGCAACAGGAAGTTGACTGTCACACTGAGGGAAACTTGAGAAGAGACCTCAAAGCCCACCCCCACAGAGATGCACTTCTTCCAACAAAGTCATATCTACTCCAACAAAGCCACACCTCTAGTAGTGCCACACCCTTTGGGAGCTGTTTTCTTTCGAACCACCACAGTAAAACAAGGAATTTTAAAACTTTCAGCAAAGACATCTGAATGTAGTCAAAGTAGTGAATGAACCAAGTGAATGCCACAAGCAAAGCCATGGCTGCTGTTAAAGACAAATGAGCTCTTAACTCTGATACAAGAGCAAACCTCAAGGTAAAGATCCCACCTACTGAAGACCATAGGGCATAGAAACTCATTTGACAGACTTTTGTTTGAAATGAAAGTGTCTATAAAAGAATGCCTAAAAGGTCACTCAGGAAATGTTTCCCCAGGCTTTGGGGTATGCAAAATCCACTGCCATCATCGTCTTTGGAACCCTGGCTAGATCTTGGATTGGTAACAAGAATTAGTGTTGCCATGTGGTGCTGGGTTTTCAAGCACAAAGAATGAAAATGCTGTAGAGCTTTGCTATGAGATTCCAGGGGGAAACCTAAGGCTGGGGAGTGTGTAGCAGAATTGGGTTCCCTACACGGACTCTCTTGAGTGGGCTGCAAAGGTGAAGCCCAAATTTCATTGGAGACTCCAGGACCCTGGAAACACCAAGAGTAGGTGACAGATACATGCTGACAAAATATAGGCAGTAATTGGAGGTGGCCCTAAAAGGAGCCCGTGTGTACTGCAGGCAGCTGGGGAGGGGCTACCCTGGCCCCTAGGAGCTCAAATGATATCATCCCATGCCCCATATGCCAGACACAGAACTATATAATTTAGTCTTTTCCCTATTTGGCTTTGGTCTAATCTCTCCTTACTTACTGGCTTCCTATTCCTCCCTCTGTATAATGAAGATGTATAACCTTTTATTTTTGTAGAGGTTCACAGTGAAGAGTTTGCCTCAAGTCTCAAAAGAAATGTTAAATTTTTGAAGTGTTGGAGCTATTGTGACTATGCAGACTTTTGAAATCAGGCTGAATATTGATAACACAGTCATAGCGTCTCAGCGTGTAGACAGGTGAATTGGTTACTTTCATATTGCTGTGACAAATACCATGACCAGGGCACCTTATGGAAGAAAGATCCCATTTAGGTTTATGGTTCCAGAAGGTGAGTATCTCTGATGATGGAGTGAAGTTGTGGCAAAAGCAGAAAGTCGAGGGCTCACATCTTGAACCACAAGCACAGTTTAAGCTCTCAAAGCCTACCCAGAGTGACACACTTTCTCTAGAAAGGCCTGTGCTCTTTCTTAGCATAGCTAAATTGCTGCCTCTTTCCCCTCGGGCCCTCAGAAGTAGCCCTGTTTCCAGCAGGTCTCCCCTCCAAGAAAGCATCCATCTTTTCAGCCTCCTGGTAGCTTAGAGTCATATCTTTTCCCATCACAGGTAAAGCCTAGGTTGCCCATCATTCCTCATCTCTAGAGGACAGCAGAATCCGTTCTGGCCCATAACTTCAATTGATTGATTTCCTTCCACTGGGCCCTGAGATCAGCTCAAACAGCTCATAGTTCCATGCTGTTGAGAGATCCAGGGCTCCCCACCTGCTCTGTTGAAACAGACCAGTGTCTCGGGAACAGTGATTATCTGGAACAATACAACAATCAGAAAATGTCACTTGAGGATCTGTGTTCATAAGATTGCAAAGAGACAAGAGGAAGGCAGGGAAGTTGTTGATGTCCTAAACACCAGGTCAGACCAGCACACAGCACAGCCACTGCAAAAGAAGACACACAATCAGTACATAGCCTCCAGGGAGCATGTGGGCTTTGGCCACAGATGTCCTCCTGCCCCGTATGTCACCGCTTGTCACAGCTCCATCCTCCAGCCAGGGCCACGCTCGCTTACAGGAAGCTCTTTACAAAGTCACTACAGAAAATATGACTTAGATAAAGCTCTATACCCAAAAAGGGGCTTCCAAAAGTGGGTGTGTCGATGAGTACAATGGGTCCTGTCTATCTGCAAGTTCCACATCCATAATTCAAGGGCAGATTAAAACTCCTCAGAAAAAGAATTGCATCTGGGTTGAATAGGAACAAATTTCTTTCCTTGTCATTGACTCCCCAATCAATGCAGCTCTTTACCCAGTATTGGCATTCTATCAATAGTCTAGAAAGGATGTACAATGTGTGAGAAGATGGATATCAGTCCTATGCAAACACCATACCATTTCACACAAAGGTCTGGTGCATCCAGGCATCTTAGGAGGGTTCTGAATCCAAACGCCCATAAAGGACAATTATGTTCATACACATATACATCTTTACAAATATACATATATCCTTATATATTCCTGTATTCTTATGTCTATATTTTACATATATGTATATAGTCCTACATTCTTTATTTCATATATAATCATATGCATTCCAACATGCATGTGCATATTCCTGCATTTATATTTGTATTTCATATGTGTGTGCATATATGTTCTTATATGTATCTGTATACTCCTACATAAACACTTCATTTTAGGTCCTACACTAGTCTCAAGATGTCTACAGGAATCTACATATATGTCACAAAGAAAGCTTTTTCTTGATCATAGGGAATTTTCAATACCATTTTCATTCACAAGAATAGTAAAAAGCAGTTCAACTCAGACAACATGGTAGGATAGTAATAACCCTATCCTCCAACATGGCAGGGAGGGTAATAACCCCATCCTCCAACATGGCAGGGAGGGTAATAACCCCATCCTCCAACATGGCAGGGAGGGTAATAATTATGTCTTCTAACATGGCAGGGAGGGTAATAATCCAGTCTTCTAACATGGCAGGGAGGGTAATAACTCTGTCCTCCAACATGGCAGGGAGAATAATAACCCCATCTTCTAATATGGCAGGGAGGGTAATAATCCAGTCTTCTAGCTCTACCATCCTAGAAACAGGTCAGCAGCCAATGCTGCCTCATAACTTGGACCCTTGAGCCATGTGTACACTTCCTGTTCCCCCTGGCCATCTGCAGCAGCCAGAGACAGCCTCCCTTATCCAGAGTGTCACCTACAGGCAGTGGCTGCAGCCTCCCTTATCCACAGCTTCCTCCTACAGGCAGTGGGTGGCTCTCTCTCCCTAATGTATGTTGTGACTTGTGCACAGTAGGGACACTGGTTTATTTTGCACCTTCATTCTACCTTGTTGGAGATTCAGTTTTGACTGCCAGTGCCCTCCTACATGTCAACTCAAGAAGTCTGGCCCTTTAAATTAGGTCTACTCCCCCCACCAGACACACATGCACATTCAAGCTCATCCACATTAACAAGAGTTTGCCTCTTTCAAATGGTTTTAGATGCGGCTACTAAGGGATGAAAGAGTCAAGGGGGAGGATCTTGACTAATTATATTAGTTGAATATAATGCCTAACAGAATTAAGAGACTATCCCATTCCTTCTCCTCTCCTCCAGCCCACCAGGGAAGAACATTCAAGGTTTCCGTGGCAATAGCTGATTGGTAGGAATAAACACAGCCTAGCACCTATGCTGTTCAAAGATTTCAGAGATCTGTCTACCAGAAGTTCTTCAAGCAACGGATCATTTACCTCAGCCCGAGAGAGCTGGACAGTGCCATTCTGGTCCTTATCCAAAAGCCTGAACAGTTCTGGAACACCAGAGAAGGAAGGAAGTTGGTCAGGGTTTTGGAATATCAGAAAGCTCTCTCTGGCCAACCCACACCAAGCTTCAACTCTCCTTTCCCTCCACTCCTGCCCTCCAGATCTCATCCAACCCCAGGGACAAGCAGTTAGGGTGAGCTTTTGTGGCTACAGGTGTCTCCCAGACTGAGTGGATGAGCCAATGTGTTTCCTCTAGGTCTTCACCTTCAGTAGCTCACAAGAAACTGGAAGTTCTTTGACAAGTGGGTTGTGGATAGTTCAGTCCCTCAATTCTATCTCTAGCCAATTGATTTTGCCCCTAAGGCTTCCAACCTTGCAGTCTCCCAATGGAAGGAATGTCCCATCCCTTTAAAAGATATGGTACTGATTATAAGATAAGGGCACCCTAAGGCCTAACGAACGAATACAGCTACTGCCTTCTAGAGGGAGCCCATGCTCTTCCTGGAAGGTGGTATAGTCTCTCTTAACGACATATACATGAATAAACACTAAAGGATCCATACAACAGGACCATTAAGAGAGTCAATGCCTTGGCCTAGTGACTTTGTATAGTTCAATAATTAGGATAGCATTCTCTAGGTCTCCAAGGAAAAGCAACCTTGGCCCTTTTGTGTGATCAGCCCAGACATCCATAGCCCCAAAAGTGTCCACCTCCCCTTCCTCCTGGGTATCATAAGACTCTACTTCCTTTGTCCCCAGGTTCCAAAGGCATTGACAGGCCTCTCACCTCCTGGCCTGGCCCCTCCCATGCTCTGTGTCTCTGAAGAAAAGAAGCAAGGCTAAAGAAAACAGACTTACTGAACAGGTTCTCCAGGCGAATCACACAAGCCACAAAACCATCAAAGTCAATGCCAAACTTGCTGCACGCATACCTCATGGCAATAGTCTCCTGTACCTGGTTGTTGAGAGTGAAACCTGATGACAGAGAGAGACTGTGTCACCGTTGGTGCAAAGGTCTTAGCATCTTCCAGATAAACTTCAAGGTACTGGCAACCCAGGGACCCTCCATGATTATGTGTAAATTTGTAAATCAGGACTACTCTGCCTCCCCCATGGAGGTCTAGGAGATGCTCTTCCAAGTCTCTCCCCTCTTAGGGATATCCCATCGGCTCTTTTCTTGGTCAAATGCCTGCTCAGCCCTAGGACAGTCATGGCTAGGCAACCACAGCATGTACAAGTAGAAAGGGTAAGGGGCTTTGTGTCTGGTGTCTGTGACAGAGCCCCACACCTTGTAACCACTGTTACTATCTCAGTAACAGGCAGAGTACAGAACACAGCACTACCCTCTCCTTCCTGGATCAGATGGATCCTCAGTAAGGCTTTGTTGCCACACTGGCATCCAATGAAAGAAAGTTCTCAGGAATGACCCTTAGCCACTATCATGAGAACAACTATTTACAGTGGGAAACCTTGGACCAAAGACCTCTTCTACAGGGCAGGTCCTCACCTGCTTTCTTGAGAGCTGTTCTCATCTCATAGACATCAATGGTCCCTACATGGTCGTGGTCTATTTCCTGGAAGATCTCCTGAAGCCAGAGAGAAATTGGACATTGGGGATAGCATAGCCCTGGACAACTATTTCCTCCCACTCTACTCCTCTCTTGGGAGCCCAAGGATGCACTCTAAAAAGACTGTATTGATATCTTCAAAGAAGTTCCAGAACAAATAGAAATGGAGCTAAAGGACAGTGTAGCACTTTGTCCTCTGAATGGTGCTTCCATTGAAGGATTTATCATCAATATCGTTCATTGTCATTGCCTTCTGACTCTCTTTTGAACAATGTGCCCAGATTTGCATGGTTTAGACTACAGTCTTGTCAGACTATGGTGTAGAACAGTCCAGGGATGAGTATTATAGAGGGTCAGAAGGGATGAAAGGACCAGGGCCCAGAGAGATGCCCTTCTATGCCAAGAGATATAGAAAAAAAAAATTAGTTACCAGATACTTGTGAATTTTCAGCCAGAGTGTCTTGAGCTCCTCAGGTCTCAGGGTTCCAGTCCCATCACTCTAACATTGTTAAAGAACAATATCAGCAATCCCTGAATCACCAGTGAGTTTCATGTGAGTGCCTTGAAGCCTTAGGGGACCTTCCATGTCTGAAGCAAGCCACACAACGGGGTGATATTGGGAAGCAAATTCAAACTAAGATTAGAAGGTCAAATGCTCACTCCAGAGGCCAGGCACAGAGATGAGAATGAAGAACAAAGCAGCAGCCTGAAACCTCCTAACAACAACACTAACTGACATCATACCCTCATTATCCCAGGTGACAGTGGGTGGCGCTATGTGGCTTATACACTTACTTCCAAAATAAATCTCTATGATTAGTGCAATTTCTCATTCAAATCGTGTTAGTATCATCAAAATGTAAAAACAAACAAACAAAAAAACAGTTGCTACAACCATGGGGTCTTCTCAAAGGCACAACAAAACCAAAAGAGGTGTGTGTGTGTTGAGGGAGGTCAGGTAGAATTTTCCATATCTGATGCATTTTCCTTCCAAGAGCACTTACTGAATGCTGAATTAGACATGGGAGTTTGGTTTTAAATTGCCCTCATTTTCAAAAAAATGTTTAGTCTCTTTTCTCACCAATCACAACAAACCAATAAACCATCAATCCTCCCCATGTATGTTAGACAACCAAATAGGAGTTTGCACCCAAGAATGTAAAGCGCTGTCTTCCAGTCTGGATCTGGAGTGACCACCAAAGGTTCCACTGAAAGACTCAGTGCCCAGAAGGGCATTCTTAGGAGGTGGTGGAGCTTTGGAGAGAAAGGTCTAGTGGAACACCACAGGTCATCGGAGGCACGCCCCTGCAGGGGATGTTGGACCCTGCCTCTTCCTCTCTCTCTTTTACTCTTGGATGCTGTGAGGTAAATGGTTCATCTCATTTCCACTATTGCATGCTTCCTCATCCATCATAGGTCAAAACAGCCAAAATTGTGAACTCAAGTCTTTCCTATTACAAGTTCATTGTCTCCGGTGTTCCATTAAAATCGTGGAAGGCTGACTAACATTCTCATCCTTTCAGAGCATCCAGTCTTGGGCTGTATCTCTGAGTAGTGCTGAATGTCGGCTGGGCCACATTCTTCACACCCTTACTACAACATAAGCAACCAGTCTCCACAGAGAACTGAATGTCGGCTGGACCACAGCTCACAACCTCACTACCACATAAGCAACTGCTCTTGGCAGGGTATTGGGCTCAGGGAAATAGCACCCCTTGGCACATCCCATGCTTGTGTCTCACATCACCCCCACAATGGCTGTACAAACTAGACATTTTTATTCCATTCTTCTCCAGTGAAAGACCCTGACGGTCCAAGCATTTAGTGACTTCCTCTAAATTTATATACCTGATAAGCAATGACTACAGAATTTGAACCTTTGCTTGTTCCAATGTCTAGATAGACCCACTGAGTCAGGGTCTCCAGAACTGAAATTCAAGCAATGGCATTTGCAAGTTTCCATGAGTGAGGGGATACTGGTGTATGGTCTTGTCCTTGAAACATCATGCTAATGGAAGCACCCTATGCTGCAGGACTCCATGTATACAGATGTCCACAATACACAGATTTGCAGAGGTAGACAATACAGTAGTATCTGCCATGGAATGGGCGCTGGGAGAATAACAGAGAGTGGGGTTTAGCTGGGGTGGGGGTGGCAAAAGTGTTCTAGACCAGATGGTGATGGCTACACAGCTCCAAATCTAACGAAAGCCATGGAATGAAGTGTAAATCCCAACTAAATATATTCTTACATGTGAACTACATCTGAATAGGCTGGTCATCTTTCTAAGTCCTCACGGGCATTTTCACTGCACATGGAGATTTAAGCCAGCGTGTAGACTCAATAAGACAGAGTCACCAAGCCAGCATTCTTTGCAGCCATAAGAAAGAGTTCTAGTGCCATTGGGAACAATGTGTGGGCAACTACAACAGAACCTGAGTCTGAACTGAAACCAACAGGGAGCTTTGATGACAATGATTCTGAAACCAAAGACCTAGTCATACCAAAGTGAAGCTAACAGTTTTCTGTGGCCACAGGTTGAACTAACTGTTAACCACACTCCCGTGGAAGGACACAAGGGCAGAGGGGCTCCAGCTCTGTTTGGCTAGTGGCCACTTTGGGCCCTGGGACCACTAGATAGCATACTGCCTATCCATCAGTGATAACTTGCACAGAGATGCACACACATTCCACTACCATGACTCTGCACAACCCTGCTATGTCCAAAGGAAAGTCACTTTCTGTCCTCATGGGGCTGGGAAAGAGGTACTGGAGTAAGTTATCATTATGAGTGAGGTCCTAGAAACTGATGAGGGACTCCCTAGGCTAAAGACCTTTGCCACCAGTTATTGGAAAATGGCCCTGGCCATTAATGGAAAATGGCAAATGCCTGTCCCAGGCAAAGTTTAAGGAAGTGCTATTGAGCCGTCAGCACCCTGTACCTTCCTGAAGAATTTCCCTGCCGTACAGAATGCCCCTTCTCTATTCATCATGAAAAGCCCTACCCATTTTTGTTTTGTTTTGTTTTGTTCTTGAGACAGGGTTTCTCTGTGCCTTTGGAGGCTGTCCTGGAACTTGCTCTTGTAGACCAGGCTTGTCTCAAACTCACAAAGATCTGCCTGCCTCTGCCTCCTGAGCGCTGGGATTAAAGGCCTGTGTAACCACCACCAGGCTTGAAAACCCCTACCCATTTATAACAGATTATTTATGTCCTCCCAAATCCATGTGTTGAAATCTAATCCCAGTATAAAGATATCAGGAGACAAGCCCTCACCAGACACATTTACCACATCTTGGTTCTTGGTCTTAGGTTTCCCAGCACCTCAAACTGTAAGGTATGTCTATTATTTATAAGCCCACAGTTAAAGGTCTTGTTCAATAGTATTCTGGCAAACACTGAAAAGACCAATCTTCAATAGGAGATGAGATCAGAGAGAACAAATGGATTTTTATCTTGTACCATAATCCTAAACTATTGGTAGTGGATATCCAGGGGCCATGTTGAGAGTCTGATGGGGAAAGCAGAGTAGGAGCGCCAGTGAGTGTAGAGAGTTGGGTGGATTTTAGCAGGTGAGAACACTGTGATCAGCAAAGTGGAGGAAGAAAGGGAAAACTTCCACTTGCTATCTCTGAATTCCATAATGTTAGACTAGGAACTCAACTATGGGATATCTTGGTTTTATAGCAACAACTTGGAGATAGTCTCTAGTGTGGTAAAGACAATTTGCAAAAGACACATTTTCCTTTAAAACTCTAACACAATTCCTGACATATGATCAGTAAGTTTGTTTCCTCTCTCTGTTTCTCCCCTACCCCTCCCTCCTTACTAGAAAGAGGTAGAGGGGGCTTTAAAACAGAAAAAAAAAAGATGTGACATTTAAAAGATACATCCAGCAGGCTGATCATTTCTCTGCAAGTGTTGATGTTGAATCCATCAAATTTCATGCCTGTTCCTAAATATTTAAAAAGAAAAGAAGGTGGGAGTCAGGGTTGTTTGAAGACAGGGAAAATAAATGATCTAGACAGTAGGAGACTATCAAAGAGAGTAATGTTTCGATTGAAAAGGTTAGAGCATCATGAGGCTCAGGACAGAAACCACCAGCCTCCTGGTACCCTGGGATATAGTGTTGACCAGCACTGGCATTGTGCTTCAGCCTCTGAACCTCAGCTTTGTCCCCACAGGTTTGTGTTTTTCAGCTTAAGTTTCACCTTCCAAAGGAAATGCAATGGTGATAACGATGCTACTTGCCACCAAGAACTGGTTGAGCATTGCAATATGAAAAGTGAAACATGCTAGGTTCTTCCTAACAGTCCTGCTGTGTTAGCAGGATACTAAGCCCACCTACTCCTCATCTCCACCCTGCCCTTCCTTGGCTCTCCCTGTCGATATATGATCTACTCTAGAGAATAATCCTGCCTGGCAGATGTTATCATCATCTTCATTTTATAAACAGGGACCCTGAAGCCCAGGGCACTTCTACAGTTTGGTCAAGGTCATTGACCTGTAGGGAACAGAGCTGGGTTTTAAACCTGGATCACTTGACTCCATAGTCACAACACACAGTGACTTAATGATGCTGTCCCTATTAAGTCACAGGCATCTCTCTGGAGCTGCAGACATTCCTGCCCACCACCTTCACCTGGTGGCTAAAGACTTTGTAGTCCCCTCCTCTCTGCTCTAAGCCATAGAAGCAGCAAGCAGAGCAGGAGGACCACCCTAAGCTAGGCCAGAGCTCTGAGCTCCGGGACACTGCTCAGGGCCCTGTCTTACTCTGAGCTAGCATGGGAGCCCATCACCCAAGCAGATGAAGGACTTAATTCTGAACCAGAGCAGAAAGTGGCTCGCTCCATGCAGGCTCCAACAGCACTGAAACTTGAAATAGGGTGCACTGGCCTCCTTGGGGAACAGTTGGACACTTGGCCAGATCCCAAGCAGAAGTTAGAAGCTTTGAACAACTCAGTATAGGCAAGAATAGTCAGAATTGCCCCTCCCACCTACCTCCCCAAAGAAGCTGGGTGAAGGATGTTCAGGCAACATTAATTTTGTAGGAGAGTGTCACATAAATCAAACACAGTTCAGCTTTTGCTCTGAAGACTTACAAATAATTGCATTTGATGTCAAGATTCTCAGTCCTGCGGGGTCTGGGTACTTACCAGTGTGAGTCTTGCCTCTCCCAATGCCACCATCTCGCCAGCCTCTCTTACAGGCCAGATACTCACCATACAGAATCAAGATCTCTAAGCTCAGAGGCAGCCTGAATCCCCCTGCCAACACATACACCTGGAGTATTTCTGGCCAACCTCTGCCTGTCCCCTCTCTCAGCCCCTCCTGGCACCTCTCTTGGATGCCCATGGACTTGCTGATAGGTCCCAGGGGAGAACTCACCTGTGGAAAACACTCCATTCAGAACTCTCTTGAGTTGATTAGCACCGATCTCAGAATCCTAGAAAGAGCCCAAATGTGAATTTCATCAGACCCAACAAGCTACTTCATAGTATCCAATTAATGTAGAGATCCTGCCCGAGCCACACTCCAGGACCACCAGCCCTTTGATTTTTCAAAGCATGTGATATTTAGAAACTCAGCTTCCCCATTCCCTCTGGAGTCCAGCAGCCTGGAAGAGCACAGAAGGGTTAGTAGGGAACACGGAGAAATGTCGGGAACATGGAGAGATGTTGATTGCACAACTTGGCACCTAGCTCCACAGAAGGCTGCCAGCCCAACCTCTTGCTGTGTTTCATGGGACTTGCTTAGTCAGAGAACAGAGTGTGACAAGTAGTGACAGCAGGAACTAGCACTAATGTACCACACACCCAATGTGCAGCATCATTAAATCTCTAACAAAACTGCATCCATGCTACAGTTAAAGAGCCATGTCTACAGAAACTGCTAATCGCTGCATACACATACAACAACACGGATTATTGTGCTATAACAGCTTGGGGCTCACAGGCACCAAGTGCCAGATTTCCCACATGTGGGGGCTGCTATTCCATGCAGGAACACATTTCAGGCTGGAATTCAGATTCAGGGGATAAAGCGGTCTGTGTGTATGTTGTATGAACACTGAGCAGAGAGAAGATGCACACCTTAGCACACAGATAGAAGATAAGCCTCATGCAGGATGATGGGCAAGGAGCACAGTAGAAGCTGTGGCCTGAGCTGGGCTCCAGGCTAGACTCTGCCCATTTTTCACACTCTGGTCCTCCTGTACTCCCCCAGTCAGGCCCTAGCATTGGAAAGATCAGGCTAGCATTGCACAGAGCAGTGTCTCCGGATGGTCTCCCTGGGGCATAGGGTGGCCAGTCCTAGAATAACACCGGGGACCCCTCTGGAAACCCTCTCCATAGATAAGCTAATCATCAACCAGGAAAAATATAGGCTGCTCGGAGTCCGTACTGGACCTTGGCTGTGACCTTCATGAAGCCTTGTGACCTTGGACCTTCTGTCACTTTACCAGCAGAGGAGGGGATGGGGATCTGTGTCCCCTCTCCATCACCCCTCAACCAGAGAGAAACGAAAGACAAGCTTGGGAAAAAATATCTACAAGCAACAGTATTTCCCCCCTCTGGTGTTTCGGATATGCTAAATAAAACATGGCCCCTTGGCAGCTGAGTAACAAGCCTCTGCTGGGAAAAACACCAGCCTAGTATCTGCCTAGTGCGAAGTGATGTATTCTGTGGGAGCGCTCACCAATGGCCACACAGAGGGGCTGGTTGCCGTGTTGCTTTGCTTTGTTGCAAAGGTTTCTGTAGTATTTTCTGTGTTTTTTTTTTTTTAACATTCTTCCCCCATCCCCCTCCCCAAACAGAAGATTCACCATATATTCCTGGTTGTCCCCAGACCCCCAGGTCATGCAATCTTCCAGCCTCAGACTCCCACATACCTGGAACGACAGACCACTGCACCAGAACTCCATTCCATTTTATAGCCCAGAAAGTCTCCTGGAGCTTCAGTGGGGTAGGAGGCACAGGCAAGCAGGAAACATGACTTTTCCCTTCTCAGGGCCTTTCTTTTTTAGCAGTCTATGACCCATCAAGGGTCTTCTCTTTCTATGAGGCCAGTGGGGACACACTGAGTCTTGAGTGAGCTTGGATTTATGACAGCAGACCAAAATGGACCCTGGGCAGCAGGGCAGGGGAGGTTGGGGGAGGGTGGGAAACCACTGTACAAACCCAGATGATAATCGTATTCATACACATACCAGAGACAGACTTAGATCCCACAGCACAGCTGGTCTCCAGTGGGCCAGGCGTGTGTGTCTCCATTCCCTGGGCAGGTTAACTGAGTGGCATCCTGCTGAGGCTATCGATTTAAAGTGGTCACGCTGCCCTGCCTTTCTAGGCAGAGGCCCCATCTGACAGGACCAATTTACAAACTGAAAGGCTTTTGGCCAGACCCACAGATTGGGCTTTTCTATTTTCTCAAGTCAGTCAACACAGGAAGAAAAGTGGCCTCTGGACAATAGTTATTCTCTCTACCCCCAAAACACAGGAAAAGCCTGCCAGCTTCAGGCAGGATGAAGTGACAAATGATACGCACAGGCTAGAGACCCAGAGTATGCAGCTTCACCCTCTGCACTCCTACAGACCCCGAGGGAGTGCAGACAAGCATGACCTGAGCCCGCTGCTGCCCTGCACGGGAGGCATCTGCCCTCCACTCACCTTGCCTGCAAACTCCTCAAACAGGCTCTGGAAATGCTCATCTTCTGGGTCCATGTCACATGGATGCGGCTGGGAAGGGCGACAGTGATGACATTAAAACAGGAACCGTGGAATGAAACATGGAGAATCCCAAGCAACCCCTTAGCATCCGCTATGAAACTGCTCTGGGCCAGGCTTTGGGCTGAGTGGGGGCATATGGTGGTTTGAAAAATGTCCTTCACAGTCACAGGCATCTGAACTCTTGTTTCCTAGTTGGTGGCAGGCACTGCCTGGGTAGGCTTAAGAGGTGCGGCCTTGCTGAGGGGCTATGTCACTGGAGGTGGGCTTTAGGGTCAAAAGCCTCATTCTGCTTGCGGTTTGTCCTCTCTGCTTTGACTTGCATTTGGAGATGTGAGCTCTTAGCTTCCTACTCCTGCTGCCTTGGCTGCTTTTGCTGTTATGCCTCCCTGCTGTGATAGACTCCTATCCCTCCAGAGCCATAAGCCCAGATAAACAGTTGCCTTGGGCACATTGTCTTATTATAACGACAGATAAGTAAGGAATATGGGTGGTAAGGAAAGGAGCCACCCAGAGGGTTGGCAGTCCAGCAGGCTGCCATGCCTGATCCACAGCTCCTCTCTGAGTCTACTTTTAAGACTTATTTAAATGTTAACTATCTATATGTGTGGGGAGGGGATGTGCACATGTGTGTTCAGTGTCCACAGAGGCCAGAGGCTTTAGATCCCCAGGCAGTTGTGAGCTGCCCTACATGGGTTCTGGGAACCACACTTGGGTCCTCTACAAGAAAAGTATACACACTTAACCTAGGAACCCTTTCTCCAGACCCCTAAGCCTTGAATTTTGAGTTTCAATCCAGAATCACCTTCAGAGAACAACCAAAACAGGCATAGGAAATCTTAGGCTGGGTCTAGAGAATGTCTAAGGATTTCACCTCATAGGAATCTGAACCTCAGAAATCATATGAAAGATGTGAGGCTGTTTATATGTGCTTTTCTAGTTTTTGCAAAGTCAAAAAAAAAAAAAAAAAAGACCACAGCCTAGTAGTAGTAGATACAGCAAAACCAGAAGCCAGAAGACTAGAGTCGAAGCAGACAAGTTGTTTAATGAAGCCTATCTCTGCAGACTGAGTATCCACTTCCTAATGCTAATATTAAACTACCTCGGACCATCTCATACCGTCATTTTGAAAATCAAATGAGAGCTAATGTGTGTCAGTCCTTTAAAAAATTACAAGCCATTCTATAAATGCCTCTGACCGAAAGCTTTCAAAATTATCTCTGATTGTCATCACCACAGCACTAAAAGGGCAAAGCTTCCCAGATAGCCTGAAGAGTTTCCAGAAGCCAGGTCAATTCCTTCCAAAGCCATCCCTAGGGTAAGTACACAAATCCTGGGATAGCTAATGCTGCTGTAATCTAAGTTACAATAGTAGGAAGGGTCTCATCCTTACTTACTGCCAATGACTCAGTGCATCCACACTGTGAGATCTTCTCATTACTATACACTTCTCATATATGGGGAGGCCGAGGTTTATAGAGTTAAGCAACATCACAGAAAGATTTTAAGAGCCAGAGGTTGGGGAGGATGGCTGCAAAGTGGTGTCTCCTAGACATGAGAAGGCTGATATGCTCATGAACTCACAGTAGCTGTCAGTTACCTCTACAAACCTGCATAAGATAGACCCTGCTGACATGCCCGTGTGGGTAGGTGAGAGGTGTGTGAGACCCTACACCTAACTGAGAAGGTTTTGGCAGGCGATAGTTGCAGATGGGGGGGGAAGGTCAGTTTTCTTCAGACGTGGGGCCGTGGTAGATTGCCCATGTGCTATGGGCAGCACTGATTGCACTCAGTGGGTTATGAAGGAGGAGGAGAAAGAAATGAAGGTGGAGTTGGGGGTTGGAGAGGAGACATGGAGTGGATATAATCTAAATACACTGCTAAAGAATACAGATTTAAAACACAAAAATAAACAGTGAAGTGGCAGGGGTCAAGGTCGCACAGCTAATGAATAATAGAACCACGACTCAGATGTCCTTTTCGACCATCCTGTAGTGTGACTACCAGAGACTGCTGAATGAATTAACAAATCATGACTTGGAGATTTGTACAGGAATTAACAACAATTCTGGTAGTCCATGAGATTTCCTGTCTCCTACATCCTATTCACTCAGCCTCCAGGGCTCTACCACGAGGCTACTGGTGTTACCTTAACATACAACATCCTATTTTCTCAGTCTCCTGGGCTCTATTGCGAGGTTACTGATGCTACTACCATCACACACAAGATGCACAATCCTAAAGCCACACATAGGTTCTTTAGAAGGAAAAAAGTGACAGTTTCACACATATGATTTAAAGCAGTTTTTCAGGAAACTCGATATATTGTTCATGTAATGTACTTTAAAGTCTAGTGGCAAACCCATAAATTCTAGACAGAGCATAATCTATTATTCTGGGGAGAAAATGTATGAAATTGCATTTTAAAGGGCAGAGCCAAGTGAGGCGGGGCACCCTTGAATCTCAGCCCTTGTGAAACAAAGGCAGAAGGCATGGGCCAGCCTGTGCTACATAGCAAGACCATGTCTCAGGCACATGCATAACAACCCAGTGTGTGCATATAGACAGATGCTGCCTATATCAGATAGCATCTGCCAGTTAGGGGAACCATACCACTGGATATGGGGATTTAGGGACACAAAGTGGGATGATAGATTTACAACAAAGTACCTCAATATTGTTCAATATCCATTCACTTGGTACAAATTGGAGACTGCCCTAGGTCTGTGAGTAAATATAGAGACTGGTGAACAATTATCTCAATGTGTGGCCAGAGAAGTATTTACTCTCCTGGTAGAATGCATATAGAAACACTTGGCAACAATGTGGCAGCCCAACAAAGGCAAGGAAGGAGTCTCATGACTAAACTGGGTGAGGATATCATTTTAGCAGCCCTCTCACAGGCACACATCTGAACCCCTGGAGTGGGTGGTTCACAAGGCAGCCAGGTCCTTTGATCCTCTAACTATCCATGACTTGGTGGATAGGTGGTAAGGACACAGGAATTCCAGAAGGCCAAGGCTCTTCCTGTCTCCTGTAAAGTCTCAAGTTTAACAAAGACATTACCACTGTAGTGTGTGTGCTGAGCACACATGTGGGTATGGTAGCTGCATGTGCTGTATATGAGTGTGGCATGTACAAATGCAGGTGAGTAGTGTATGTGGCATAAGTCTGGTTATGTGTACATTATATGTAGTGTTATGATGGAATGTATACTATACATACATGGTGCATGTATGTAAAAGTATACAGTTTGTATGGTAGGTATATGTGAGTATACATGCATGATATGTTTTATGATAGGTATATGTGGTATATAGTATGTATGTGTAATATGAGTGGCATGTGTATATATGCATGTGCTGATTATGTGGTGTGTATGGTATGTAATATGCGTGTGTGGTATGTGTATGTGGTGATTTATGTGGTATATATAGTATATATTATGCATGTGTGATGTGGATGGTGAGTGCACAGTAGCATGTATGGTATGTTTTGTGATGGGAATGTTGTGGAGTATGATGAGTACGTGTATATGGTATGCATATAAAGTTTGTTGTGTGTGGTGTGGTATGTATATGTTGGGACTGAGGTGGCCACAGAGAGAAAGAGAATCAAAGTTTCTGTGAACCAGATTATGCTGGAAGTCTCAGGCCCAGGAATCCCAGATCCCTCATATGGTTCCATTGCCATGCTCTGGAGACCACAGAAGGCACTCTTTCTCTCTCTCTCTGAAGGCCAGCACTTTACCAAGCTGCAAGCCAAATGCAGCCATCTGTGAACTGTAACTCCTGAAGGAGTATGATCAGATCCCAGGATGGCCAAGGCAGACCCATGACCAAAAGAGACCTCATGTGGCTTGAGGCTCTGGGAAACACCAAGACCATGGTAGATGGAGACAGAGAGCCCCAGTGATGCCAGGAGTGAGCCCCTGCCAGCCTGGTTCAGTTAGCAGAAACCAAAACAGACGTGTAGATTCTGTACTGTCTACCCTGTCATGACATGTCTCCTCTAATCTTCCTCTACCCCACAGTGAGGATGATAAGACCCTGGGAGGGATGGAGCTGAGTTGCTGCCTGCACCTAGTGCTCAGTTTCCAAGAGCCAAGCCCAGAATGGGCCTCGTGCTGCAGGGAGAAAACTAAATGGGCTGTAGACCTGAGGAGCAGTCACACCTGATAGACTAACTGTGGGAAGACCAAGCAGATGACAGGGCATTTCCTTACAGATAAACTCACACCCAAGCTCTAGGCAGATGAATCCTCAAGTGGGAACTTTCCACTTATCTGTAGAAAGATGGTTGATTATTTCCAATAATACAAGATGTCTATCCCACTGCTGTTCATTCCAGGATGGCAGGCTCAGCCACTAGAGGGCGCTTTTAGTAGCAGCTGCATATAGAGATACTTAGTCTTTTTGGGTGAACTTAGTCCTTTTGGGTATCTATAAGAGCTCAAGAGGGGTGGGGCAGGACCTGTGTCATTTGAAGATACGGGTCCTGTCCCATGAGGCAGAAAGGCATCACACACACACACACACACACACACACACACACACACACACACACACACACACTACATTCATGTATGTGAGTGCATGTGGAAGGTACATGGGCACATGTGTGACAGTGTGTATGTGTGTAGACTAGTGAACAGTCTCTGGTGTCATTCCTTAGACACTATAGTACTCTGTCCCAGGGAAATAAAATGTTACCATTCTTAATATGTAAAGAACTCTATTAAATTAATAAGAAGGTTGGATGTCGGCTATGTAATAGCGTGAGAGCTTGGCATAACGGTATTACATACTGCTGTGAGATAATCTTTTTCTACACTGTGAAGATGTGTCTTTGCTAAGGAGCCTTCTGATTGGTTTAATAAGGAGCTCAGAGGCCAATAGCTAGGCAGAAAGAGGTTAGGCAGAACTTCCAAGAGAGAGAGCGGAATTTGGGATTAAATCTAGGCACATTAGAGAGATGCCAGCAAGACACCGAAGGACTCGAACATACAGAATGAAGGAGAGGTAAAAAGCTACGTGGCAAAACATAGATTAATAGAAACAGGTTAAGTTATAAGAGTTAGTGGGACAAGGCTAAGCTAAGGCCAACCTTTCATAATTAATAATGACTCTCCGTGTCATTATTTGGGGGCTGGAGGTCCTGATAAGAAAGTACTAACTACTACAGCATACCTCCTGAGGGTTTCCAGCTACAGCATCCCCAATTTCCCTGAAATTCAGACAGAAACAAATTACACATGAAAAAGCAAGTTTAGCCAATGGCCGGGTTCTTTCAGAGAGAATTTCCTCTAATGGGAAATTGATTTTACACCCGGAATTTTTCAGTTCCTGCTTAAAAATAACTGACCAGCTGAACCCCTAAAAGGAATCCTTCCCTTTACTGCTGCAAGCACACATCCCACCTTGAAGTTCTTGTCAGAGATAAGGCTTTTTTCTCCCCTGCAGATTCTAGAACCCTGAGATGCTCCCCCTTCTTACCCCAGGCTACTCTTCTCTCTTCTAAGGACCTCACTGCCAGATCCTCTGCTGGCCTCATGAAGAATGTGAAGAGTGAGGGGTGGGTACATGGCAGGGGGTATGTAGTATGTATGTGGTGTGCATTGAGGGTTTGTGGTATGGTATGTGTATGGTACATGTGGTATGTGGTACACGGGGTATGTATATAGTTTCTGGGTGTCTATGTGACTATTATATGTGTGCTGTATGTGTAGTGAGTATGTGTGGTGTGTGTGTTATATATTAATGGTATGTGGTATTGAAGTATATGGTATATATTATGTATGCAGTATGTGTTAAGTGTGCACATAATATGTTGTGGTAAATGTATATAATAGGGCATGTATAATATATGTGTTTTTCTGTGTTGCTGGTTTGTGTTATATATTTGATGCATGTGTTGTGTGTATGTGTATACATGGTGCACATGCTGTATATGTGCATATGTTTATCTACAGTGTGTGTATGGTATATTGTGTACATACATAAGATGGGGGATGCATAGATAGTACATATTTGGTACATATATTGTATATGTTATATATATGTACACATATATATATTATGTGGGTTGTATATAATGTATATAACTGGGGTGCATATGTGTGGTATGTATACTGATTATGTGTGTACTGTGTACACATCCCTGCCCCAGATCTCATCAACCCCTGCCAGCAGGTAGGAGAGCTGGTCTATAGGCTGTTGATGGTGCCCCTGTCTTCCCAGCCTTGACTTTTCTGGAGGAGGAAATTCCCAGTGCTATAGGGCAGCAGGAGGCACACCCAGAGAAGGCCGCTGGGAGGTGTCCCGCTTTCCAAACTTCCTCTAGAAGGATCTACCAAGATCCAGGGGCAGATCACTCAGCAATAGATGCCTCCCAATGCTGCACCCCCACCTGTGGCCTAATTCAGAAAACACCCCTCACAAAGCAGACTCACAGAGCCTTGGCCTTCGTCTCTGAGAACACCCTCAAGCAGAATTCACCATCCTTGAAGGGCTCAAAGGTGGATGGCACCACCAGGTACTGTCCTGGGGGTAGTCGGACCCGGCTGGACACTTCCCGAAGGTTCATGTAGGTGCTGGAGTGGGCAGAGGGCTGGTGGCCCTGGAAGAAGTCCGGGCCCAGGTGTGCCTCCGTGTGACTCTCCAGCTGCACAAAGCAATGGGCAGAGTCAGTTTCTCCTTGGAGTTCAGCCCAACCACCTGAATTAGGGATTGTGCACTGCACCTAATGTGTGGGAATTGAGAGGTTTTCAGTCCAGTCACAAGCTAGCTCACTATCTGCACCATCAAGTGGATCAGGGCGCCTCCTGGGTGCCAAGCCCAATGAGGCTGCGACCTTAACTGTGACCTTGACCAGCCCCTTGGCTCTCCAGGCCTCCTCCATTAAATGAAAGGTGGATCTTGGGGTACCTAGTGTGGGCTTTGCATAATGTTACCAGCAGCCAGCACTCTGAGGCTGTCTCTGTGAGCAAGGCATTGACTCTCACGATCCAGACCAGGGGCTGGAAACTTCAACCCTGGTCCTCAAGCAAAGCTCTCTGGGAGTTGACTAAAGTGACCAGGCTCTGAAAAGACAGATGGAGGAGGCAGCTATCCAAGCCCGGTTCGGAGTCCCTTCTGGCCTCCTGGGGATCTGGAATCTTCATCAGAGAGGGAAAGATGCTCCTATGAATTTGTTGTGAGGAAGGGTGGGAGGGTGCTGCCAGTGTGTGACACCTGCTAATTACTAACTGCAGAGTGCTCTGAAAACACAGGTGCCAACATTGTTAGCGCTGTAATTAAGCCATTAAGCCTCTCCGGACCTGTACCTTTACAATCAATCTTTATATGATTTCTATGACAGAGGCAGGTGCAGGCAAGCCACAAGAGCTGAAACACCCACACTGGAGTGGTCAGTGTCCGTGCATGGCCACCCGTTCTGGATCTCAGTTCTGCTGATCAGGGGTGAGAAATAGGACCCCCTTGTCCCCCTGTCATTGCCCCAGACGGGATGCCTCAGAGATCCTTCCAGGGGGCAACCAGGACAGCCACAATGCTTCAGATTCTCTCTGAAAACGAATACACCCTGGGCATAAGTGTGCTGAGGGAGGCATCAACGAACACAGGCAACATCGAAGTGTAACAAGTTCAGTGTGTTTCTTGGTATCCCTGAGGGAAATGAGGAGGGAAAGAGCCCGGCAGGAGAAGGTGCTCCCAGTGCTGATGGGGAGCTGACTGACATCTGGGCTTGGCTGGGGAGGGCAAACAGAGTTTCTGTGAGAATCCACGGGTGGAACAAACCAGACTCCTCCTTTAGGAAGACAGAGTGGGGTGGGGACTGGGGCCACTGAGTCAAGAGCTGGGTTTCTTCTTCTGTGCTCTCAGAGACCCCTTCCAGCTAGGTGTCAAGGATCTCTGGTCTTCACATCATTCCTTGGCCTAACTCAGCTAGCAGTGATGGTGTGGGGATCAACTGTGCTCAGCTGAGGGTGATTCTCAAAAGTTCGAGGCTAAGGTCAAAAGACAAACCCTGCGGGTGGGGGGGGGGCAAATGCAAACTATTGTGCCCACCCCAGGCCCATAGAGCCAGGTGCTATAGGTGTGAGGCCCAATGGTTTGTGACTTAACAATCCCTCCAGAGATGCTGAAGCAAGTTCAAGCATGGCCAGAAAACTCTGTAACACTTGCAGATCGCAGAATCTACACCAATGGCATGGTGGGTGCTCCTGGGGAAAGTTCCATCACCCATACATAGGATCCCACACTCATATTGATGAGGCATCCTGATGGGAGCCACCATTAACCACATTTAACTCAGGTTTGGCTTCCATTGTTTTCTAGTAGTGAAAATGATGCAGCAAACCACCCATCTGTCCCTCCATGATAAACAGCATGCATTTGAGGCCCTAGGGCCCAAAAGACCAGGAGTCTGCAACCTGGGCCCAAGCCCATGCATCTGGGCCCACCCACCACCCTGGTCAAGCCTGGGAGAGGAGAGGAGAGGAGAGGAGAGGAGAGGAGAGGAGAGGAGAGGAGAGGAGGCTGCAGCCTGTCACACCCACTGCATAATTAGTGCAATTGACTCAAGGTCAAACCCCAGGCATGGCTACACACTGAAGTTGAGGGACTGTCTATAAACCTACAATGCCTGCATTCTCCCGACCACAAGATGCTGCTATAACTTGCTGGGATGTAGCCTGTATGTACACTGCGATGTTTAAGACTTCTGAGCTGCAGGAGAGACGACCCTGGGGCCTTGCTTTGTGCAGACTGCACTCTCCTGTGGGGCCATGCAGGTCCCTCTCAGGAGTGCTTCTAGGCCCCTATCTTCAACCAGCAGAGGTGGGTGGAACCCATGAACAAGCCTCAGGAGATCAGAGGGAACCTCAGACCATATGGACACTACTGAGAGGATTCCCTAAGCCAGCTGTGAGTTACAGAGGAGCATGGGACAAGCCAGAGCAGAGGGTGAAGTTAGCATTTCCCTTTCTAATCAGACACCAGGGTATTTGTTTCTGTTGGCCAGACAAGAAGGAACCTACAGTATGCTGCAATCGCCTTAGTCAGGACAAGCCACCATTCATTCATTCATATAGGGGCAAGGATCCCCCGTGTTCCCTCCCCAACAGCCTGACAGGTGGGACTTGAGCTTGTTTTCACTGGCTCTCAGGGATACAGGCTCACCATATCAAAAGACTATCCATAGGACAGCCTGTCTGCATGGCAGGAAGGAGCCCTTTCTTACCCAATGAAGACCACATCTGTCCAGGCGGTACATACCTCCTTGGGAATCTGCAGGGCAAAAGACAAGAGCAGGTCACCTGGGAGCTCAAGCCCTCCCTTCGTGCATCTCTCCCTGAACCTTGCAAATGGACAAGCTGCTGCAGCACACAGGGAGGAAGTTAGAGCTAAAATGAAAGGGTGATGAGCTTTCCTGACCTGGAAAGTGATCAGCGGATTCAAGCCTGTATGCAGACTGCTGAGTCCAAGAAATCTGGGGCTGCGGAAGCCCCTACCTCTTACTTTGTGCAATCTACCAGGATCCCCCAAATACTTCAAAAAACAGTCATGTTTGAGCTTAAATTGGATTCAAGTTCTTCCTACCCTGCCTGGCTTGCCAAATCACAGATTTGGCTATAAAGAAAATTCTACTCAACTTAAGTCACAGTTGATCCTGTCTTCAGCCACAGTGACCTAAACTGGGCCTATAGGAGATTCCTCAAGATCTTTAAATTGGAAGCAAGGAAAGGGGCCCCTTCTTTAATGCTAGTGATGTTGGAGAATGTCACTGGCATTAGAGAAAGGGATGTGGAGAGAAATATAGCCTGACTCCTTCACCCCAAGCATCCTTCCTCTCTGCCCTTTGCTTTCCTTACATGAGGGAGTGAATTCTTTCTCACTGGCCAGGTTGCAGCTCTCTCAGGCACTGCTGAAAACATCAGCTGTGGAGATGAGCTCTCAGACCCAGAGGGGAGCCCTGCTGTGCCCAGAGCTCCTATGTCAGGCTAGAAAAGAGAAGCCCTGTCCTCCTATGTCCTCCCTTCCCTGTCCCTGCCACCCAGGCTGCTTGAACCAGAAAACACATGGGCAGCTTAGGCCAATTGTGCAACTGCCTTCCACTCTGAGGGGAAGTGATCTTTGCCTGGCATTCTCTCAGCAATGCTGGAGAGGTCAAGGGACACAGGCAAGCCTCTAATTTGGAGTTTAAAGCACAGTCAGCCACACAGAGACCTCCCCACCCATCAGGAGCTTCCATAATGACTTTGGCCAACTTTCCCTCAACAACCTGGACACTTCAGACAATATGCTCTGAGTCCACCTGGCCCTGAGTCCCCTGGGCCATACAGGAAGAGCCACTGCCCACAGACACTGGAAGGGCAGCCATCTGTGAAATGCAGGTTCTGAGTGGGTGACAGGAAGAGGGCTCTTTAGCCTTCAGGGGTGCCTAGCAGCTTCTCAACTGGTCACAGGTTTTCAACCTCAAGCTAGAGTCCAGTTTCAGACAGTTACAGCCAGAGAAGGGAGTCACAGGCAGGGGTGAAAATATAATATCCCACTAGCCAAGCTACTCCCCACACCCTAGCTGCTTCCTGTAGCTCAGCTACTCCCCACACCCCAGTTGTTCTCCTCACCCAGGCTGCTCCCCTTGCCCCAGCTGCTCCCCACATCCATCTCCTCAATTTGACTTTAAAAACCAATCTGTTTGCAGAATTCAAACTCTAAATGATATGCCTCCAATTACAAGAAGTGGGACCACAGATCACATACCCTGGAGCATTTTATAAATAGCTAAGATTTGATACATGAAACTGACATGCTGAGTGTGTTACTTATTGGTGAAAACACCTCAGCACACACAGCAATTGAGGAAGAATGTTTTGTTGATCTGAAATGGAAGAGACCGGACAGAAGAAGCAGTAGCCAAGGTCCCTGAGTGGCTCAGCCTGAACCCGCCCCTGCCAACTGTCAGATCTCTAAAACAGGCACTAAGTTTTAAGCTGTCAGAGTGCACATGGCATGCCTTCAAGCTAGAATGTTCTCTCTTCTCCACCATTGAAATCTAGGTCATCTTTTGAAGACCTGATTAAATCCCCCCCCAGCTGAGGATTCCGGATTGCTGCAGCAGTGCCACCATCACAGCACACACACACCCGCCCTGTCAGCAACTGAGTGTTGCTCTCCCATTCCTGATTAGGAGCACCCAGGGGACAGGAACTGTGTACTAGTCCTCAGTGTCCCCAGATTCTAGCTCTGCACCTGGCACAGAGTAGATGCTCAGGCAAGTTTGTTGTGTTGGGATGCATGCATGGCTGTTATCTCTGTAAGCAGTGAAGGCGGGTTTGCAGTATTTATGTCTAGTCAAGGCTGGAAGAACTAAGTTGGAATAAAATGGAACTTCATTACTTTCAATTCTTTTCTCTTGCCATTAAGTAGCAATTCTTTTGCAACTCCCATTCTTCAAATTACACACACACACACACACACACACACACACACACACACACACACACGCATTGTTAGTGTTAATTACCAATGTGATAGACTCTAGAATCACTTGGGAGATAAGCCTGTGGGCTTGTGTAGGATTGTTAATTGACATAAGAAGACCTGCCTACTATGGGTGGCACCACTCCCTACCTAGGATGTTGGAGTATGTCTCTACAGAAAGGGAGTCCAACTGTGCAATCACACACGAAATGACCAGCTGCCTCTAATTCCTTCTCCCTTGACTTCCTGACATGGTGAACTATGAGTTCATCTGTAGACTAAAATAAACCCTTCCTTGTCTTTGTCAGTATAACACACACACACACACACACACACACACACACACACACACACACCTGACACCCTAAGCTTAAGAATATGATAAAGAGTGTTGGGGGAGGAGGTATGGACTTGGCAACTAAATTTTTCCTTGTTACATAATTTATTACAGTACTTCTTAATATAATGCTTATTTTATGTGCATTAATTTATACTGAGATGTTGGGCCTCCAAGCAGCTCTGGATCTTCCTGATTAGAATTATATTTTTAACCAAGAAATTCACTTGCAATAAAACCATACCAAAAAGCAGAAAACTGAGGCCCTATGGGATATGTTGTATGGAGTCTTTGCCTGGGTAAAGAAGTAGACTGTAGCATGATCCTAACTAGATTGTCAAGCCCTGAAGATTTGATTTATTGAATTAGGGAGACAAAGTCCACAGAAGGGTAGTCACTGGTGAAGGCTGGCATCCTGAATCAGGGACTGAAGCCTGAGACAAGAACCAGCTGTGTTCCTCAATCCAGAGACTCCGGAACCAAAAAAGTAAAAAAGGCTATGTCATTCCTCTTACCCTAAACGGTACCTTGTGTGTTCCAAGTAACTTCCTATGGTAGAAAGAAGGGACGATATACATTTGGTTTCTCTATCCAGCCACCTCCCCTATTCTGAAATGCATTTTATTGTTCAAATGTATTTTGTCCTTGGGCTCTAGTCCCCTGAGACACCCATTCTTGGGAAAACTCTAATATGCACATTTTTACTGAGTTCTTACTGACAGGGAAAGTGTAATGAATTGCACATCTCAATGTAAGCTGCAGAAATTCAGCCATAGGGCTGATTCTCTTACTATGGAACCCAAACCTCAGTAAGAGCTCTAGAGATGTGAGGGAGTAAGGAAAGTATCTTATGAAGATTATTTGAGCAGTAGGAAAGATGCACCCCAACTACTGACCAAAACATCCAGATCAAAAGCATCAGTATACCCGATGGAAGACCCCAACTCAGTTGTACCTGGTAGATAGCAAAACCTATGCTGAGCATGCCCTGGCCGATCCTCTTTTGCCATCTGCGATTCTTCTGCATCAGACCCAGCAGCACAGTACAGCAGGATTCACTGGTGCCCTCCTCCTGGTCCTCATCCACCTCGTCCAGATGGATTTTGAACTGGGGGTTGGTCCAGTAAGTGGCTGGAAGTCGTCCAGTGACAGTGGTCCGACAGGAGTGAGGAGATGAAGAAGGAAAATTTTAAAGAAGAAACAAACCTCCACTGTCCCAATGAAAGAACAACACTGGCAGGTTGCCTGGCACAGTACAACTGGAAAGCAGCCCTCCCACCTCCCCATCCCACCCCACAGGTAGATACTTAGGATGTCTATCTTGTCTGCTTGATCAACCAGTAGCCCAGAATGGTGATGAAATCTGAGATCCTGCCATCCCAGGCTGCACTGGTCTGCATCAGGAAGCAATATCTTTCCTTCCTGGGAGTCTTTCATTTCTTCAGTTCTTAGCTGAAGACTCCACTTGGAAGGAGCTCTTTAGGGAGAAATGTATCTCTGGGATGGATGGCAACTGAGTCAGTCACAGAACAACCAAGGAGGCCTCGCCTGATGAAAACCATCTGACTGCACCAAGCTCAGGAGAAGCCCCAGCTTTGGATTTCAGTTCCATGAGACCCATCCTCTATCCCACAGCCCAAGGGGCCTCCCATGATGCCCAATATTGCAGCCTACTGATGAGTCATCATTCAATAATGTGAGAGAAATCACAATGTCATTAAGCATTCCTGCCACACCACCTGTGAATACTTAAAAAGATGTCTTTTTGAGCTGGGAGATTGCTCAGTGAGTAAGGGGGCTTGCTGTGCAGGCAAGAGGACTCGAGTTCAGGTCCTAGCACCTTGTCTAAATGTCAGTCATGGCTACATGAGGGTGTTGGTGGATATTCAATCACACTGTGAATCCCAAGTTAGCATTTGCATTAATAAATATAACCTTTGGTCAGGAAGCTGAGTTAGCAACTAGTTGACAAAAAGTAATCATAGAACCTCAGAGGGCATCCAGGAGAGATAGAGAGACACAAGAAGTAATAGGGTGGGGTTTGGAGTGGTGTAGCTTTTTCTGGCTGGCAAAGCAGAAGCATGGATCTTCCGTGGATGTCAGCAAGGAAAAAGGGTTAAGCTGCTGTTACTCAGCATCTCTGAGCTCAAAGGTTTTCACCCCAGCCTTAAGCTCAAGTATTAATCATTATTAAAACGATAGAGATTTAGTTAATGCTGCCTTAGTGGCAGTGACAGTGCCAGTGCCTGTTGGAGCAGAATTCTCACCAGGCTCAGGCTGAGCCACCAGGACGCAGCTAGAGAAACAGGCTTGTAACTGCAGAGTTGCAATCGCTGGCTGAAACAGCAGTAGATTAAGGCACAGCCACTGTGTCAAAGCTGAAACAACATTTGACACCCAACATGGGGCACGTATTTCCACACAGGGTCTGAGAAAGCTAGAAAAGAAAAAAGAAAGAAAAAGACATGGCTCCCTAGTAGCCTGGAGCTTGCAGCACACAGGGATGTGACTCTGCCATACAGCAAGTACTTGAGCAACCAGCACATTAAGCTAAGAAAAATACCTGCCACAGTGCAGGTGCACCAAGAGCAGGGGCAGTTCAGTGCAGTTCCTGGTTAGACATAGCTCTCAGTTAAATGCAGCGCTTGGCCACATCCCCAGGGCATAAAGCTCTGCTCTTAGACCCAACCAAGGAGGAGCCAGCCACAAGCGCAAAGTCACTTGGCAAGTTTACAGTTTGACTCACTTGGTCACAGAATGCTACAGGTGTACAGTAAAGCAGGTCCAGATCAAGAAACACCTCTAAACAGGTTACAGTATGTTTAAAGATGTGCATAGGCAATTAAGAAAGAAAAAAGATATATAGTTTAAAAACAATAAGGTCTTTTAAGAGATAATAAAGTCATATAAAGGAAAAGAACCACATAAAGATGGGAAATATACAGTCTGGATCATGTATAGGGTTGTGTTGACTTTGCATTTTTTTTTTTTTTTTTTGGATGCCAATGAGCAAACCATAGCTACTGAGAAACATTGGATTGTAAAGGGAAATGCTGAATTAAGCCAGCCTAGATACTTTAGGGAAGCCTTAACTTTAAAATGGAAGTGTGAAAATGTATTGTGTTAGGGAAGACAGTATGCTTTTGTTTCCACGAGAAACGAAAGGCTATGGATTCCTTCAAGATTAATAGAGATCAGGTTTTATTGGAGGAGACCTCCTGAAAATTTTAGCTACAGACAAAAGATATAAACCAAGAAAAACTACAAGACAGGTGACATAATACATTGATCCCTCTGCATGAGAAAAGTTCTGAGATTGGACAAAAATGTTACAACTAATTTCTCCAGGACTTGACCATTGCCTCAATTTTCCCCTGGAGATGTCATCATCCCCAGAAAACAGGAAGCAGTCTAGAGAGCACAATGCCCACATTCCCAAGAGGTGTGGTGGGTTATGAATATTTGTAATCATTTAGGGGCGATATAGGAATATAGATAAAAAGACAACTATTAACCTCAAATATTTTACATTGGTATGGATTTTGGTATATTTATACAAATACAAAGTTATTTTATTATACTGTCTGAATGTTTCTACTCTCATTTAAGCTATTGTACCTATGCAGCTCATTTTAAAATATAACATATAATTAAGAAATACAGGTTAGTAGTTAGTCATCTATAATAATCAACCTTGTAGTCATATTAGGTGTGATTAGGTGTGTTTTCAAGGTTAAACAGATATATTTTAGATAGATAGATGGTCTTCAAATGCTTTAGAGACCCACAGAATATGACATCGAATATGTTTAATAACCTAAGGCTTTTCATGACAGTGAGACACATCTGTTCCTGGCAGCACCAATCTACTTCATAAAAGGATGATGGGCGTCGAAGAAACTCCATATGGAGTTTGCTTTCACTGTGCCGAAGCTAGCCATTTGGGCAAGAAACTATCCTTGCCTTGACCGTTGACAGTACACCATCCAAACTGGATATGCAGGACACAAGGGAAAGAGACTGCTGAACTTTCCAAGACAAGGCAGGCAGTCCATCAAGATTCCTGCTTCACAGAAATGTCTGCCAGATATTTTAGGCTTATAGGCCATAGATGGATGTCCCAATGTTGCAGAGGAACCTTGGGTGACTGTCCAGGCACCCAGATGCCTTTGTCATTTCTATAGTTTTGGAAGTGGCTTGCACTGCATTTCCTGTTTACTTGGGTAATATAGTATCCTTCTGGGGTCTTTGATGGAGCTGAAGACTAGACAGTTACAGTTATAATTTTCCTTAGTTGTGATAAAAGGTAAATTAGGTACAAAACTTTGGATTCACCATGATAGGGTAATTAATGGAATATTTTCTCTAAATTTGCCAAATATAAATGGACTGGATATTGTAAATGTAATTCTTACCTAATTAACTTATTCTTATTATACATAGTTTTTACTATATTAAAGTTAAAAACCTTTCCTTTTTATTTAGACAAAATGGGTAAATGTAGACTACAGTATTGGTTTAATTAGGTAAAGATGTGCTGCTTTTGTTTATACTGCATTTGTTTAACTATGTTAAACATAGTTAACATAACAAGTAAAGATGTGTTGTTGCTCTTTCACCTTGCCTGCCTAAGGCACCTGATTGGTCTAATAAAAAGCAGAATTATTGCCAGGCAGTGGTGGTGCATACCTTTAATCCCAGCACTCTATGAGTCTGAGGTAGCCTAGTCTATAAAGTGAGTTCCAGGACAGACAGCCAGGACTGTTTCACAGAGAAACCCTGATTTAAAAAAAAAAAAAAAAAAAAAAAAAAAAAAGCTGAACAGCCAATAGGCAGAGGAGGGATAGGTAGGGCTGGTGGTGAACAGAAAGTAAAGAGGAGCCAGCCAGCAAGCTGGGGGCCAGACAGGCAGACATGAAGGAAGCAGGAAAGCAGGATAGGTTGTACATAGATTAATAGAAATGGGTTAATTACGCTAGCCAGAAACAAACCTAAACTAAGGCTGAGCATTCCTAATTAAAAATAAGTCTCCATGCCATGATTTGGGGGCTGGTGGTCCAAGAAAGCCTGCAACACATGTGCCTGTAAACCCAGTGCTGTTGGGGGATACAAACAGGGGTGCTGTTAGGCTTTGTTGGCATAGCTCTAGGTTCAGTAAGAGCTATGTCTCAAAGGAGTAAGAGACAGGGGGTGAGGCTGCATGAATAAGAAGGGGTGAATTGCTGTGGAATAATCCTCTTGTTCACTGTAAAGATTTGTCACACAAATTGGTTTAATAAAATGCTGATTGACCAGTAGCCAGGCAGGAAGTATAGATAGGGCGACCAAACAAAGGATGATGGGAAGGAGAAGGGTGAAGTCAGGAGTGACCAGCCAGATGCAGAGGGAGCAGGAGATGCTAATAAAGGTACCACCACACGGCAGAGCATAAATAGAAATATGGATTAATTTAAATGTAAGAGTTAGTAATAAACCCAAGCTACTGGCCAAGCATTTATATTAATATAAACCTCTGTGAGGCAATTTAGGAAGTGGCTGCCAGGAATTTGGAAATAAGAAACATCTGTGTATGGTGAATAAGGGACAACATGGACACGCACACACATGCACAAAGCAGCAGCAGCAACAACAACAACAACAACAACAACACACACACACACACACACACACATGACACTTTAATTGAAGGACAACTTTTGAAAAAGATCTCTCAACTTAGTAACTACGCAAGCTAGGCACAGAGAAGCCTAGCGGGATCCACCACAGACTCACAACAGTTCTGTGATGGAACTGAGCTAAGCGTATAATTGAAGAAGGCGTTCTGACAGACTCCACCATGCTAGGCATTCATTTATAACAAACAGTTGGGGAGGAGTGTTTGTTTAGGGGTGAGCAGGGGTTGGCGAGTGTTTTGACAATCTCAGCATGATGGCGCAAACTTTATAGAACAGCATAGCATTCATATATGTCCAAGGTCCATTCGTTATTTTTTTCCCTAACAATGAGAGTACTTATTCGCTTCCTCCTTCCCAGAGCCTGCATTTCTAGACTCTTTTTTTTTTTTTCCACTCAAGGCACAGGTGTACATAGATTTTAAGATCAGGTGTCTGTGAATTCCAAGGGAGACAGGAAATTTGGTAATCTTCTATACTTACTTCATTACCACAAGGCAAGAACAATCCATCTCTTCCTGACAGCTAGCTGGCAGCACAGATGGGATTATGATTTGGTGCATGTGGATACCTTGAGCACCCCCTATGGTTCTGAGCTTCCAGAATGATCCATGCAATCTTCCTATGCCTCTTCTAAGAGCTTGTTAATGGTGAGCATATTTTAATTTCTCCCAAATGCAGCATTACTGCAATCCCTATATATTTTTTTGTTTACTCCTTAACAGTACTAGAGGAAGAGAATGGGCCATAAAAATAATACATCCCATTTGTATAACACTGCACAGTTTACAAAGCACTTCGTGCTACAATGCTCACTGCGCTCCAGCGAGTTGGAAGGTAGGAATTATGAACCATTGTGAGGACTGAAAAACTGAAGCTCCAGGAAAGGAGTTGCTCCTTGGGCCTCACAACCTGCAAACTGACTGATGGGGGCAGGCCACCAGCTCCCCCTTCAGGCCTGTCAATGGCTGGTCTTTGCAGCTTGATGGAGATGGGTGGAAAGGAGGTAAAACCTTGTACTCCCAGTCTGTACCCATATGCAGTTTTACAATGCTGCCATTTCTGCAGCATGCAGTGCTCTGGCTGGGAAGAAAGCGGCTGCCCCTGCACGGAGACACTGAGTCAATCAACACAAATCAATGGAGCAAGAGCAAAGCCAGGGAAGCATGGAGGCCAGGAACTAGCAAGAGGGGAGGGGAGAGTGCTTTTCTTTCTTTTGTTTCTCCAGAGAGCTGGGGGTAGTTTCTCGGTTGTTTCTTCGGCAGCTGTCTCAGTGGACCACGACCTAGGAGGAGTCTACACAAGCACATGTTAGTCATCTTGCGAGAACCAGGGAGGCCACTCTCACCTTTAAGGAGCCAGAGTCAAGGCAGAGGCAGTGGTTTGCACCAGGACATCCCCACCAGGGAGGGAGCCCTGATGACCCCCACACACAGAATGGAACACATCCCCCCACACTTAGCCTGTGTGTGTCCATCCCTGACCCCCTACAGCCTCACCCCTTTGGCTGTGACTCAAGCAACACAAAACTGAATGGCTGTCCTTCTGAGTGCAGTCCATGGAAACACCAGATTGTCTGCTGACATCCTTAACTACTCTACCTGCAAGCTCAGTGGGGTGATGTCAGACAGCTGGACCAGGTAGGGCAGGTGGAAACCCAGGAGAACAGGAGGCCTTAGTAATGGTCCAAGAGCAGCTGGTGAGAGCAGCATGCTGGGAGAGCAGGGTGGGGTTGGGGAGCAAGCAAGGCACAGGAGCCGAGATGAAGCCTCGGCCGGCAGCTGCAAAACCACTGCCCACCTTGCTGGCCTGGCCTCCAAGCCAGAGTAGAAACAGGATCTCAGATCCAACAGCAATAATTATCCAAATAATTATCCAAAGAGCCTTGTTAAAAAGCTGTGCAGCCCAGGGAGGAAAAGCCAAGCAGCCTTTTGCCTCACCTGGGTAGTTCTGGCAGCCCCCTGCTGTAGAGCCTCGTGTCCAGCGGCCATTGAAGAGCACCAGGTTCCATTTGTGGATCTCGTCACTGCTCAGAGAGTCTGGGGACAGGTTGCATATCTCCAGTCGAGAGAACTGCTTCAAGAAGTCTGAAAAGGACATCCTGAAAAGGACAGAGGGACCAGAAGGGAGGGAGTGAAGTGGGCTGGCCTAGGAGAGAGGTTGAAGGTCCAGAAAAGAGTTCTGGTCTTCCAGCAGCTAAGGACTGGCCAGATTGCCTTCTACAGCCAGTGACAAAAACAAGCAGGGTTGGAACCATGAACCAAAGAAACCCCCCCACAACCAGGAGGGGATGCCAGTGTGGCCCTGGCTTCTAGGCTGGATCACATCAAAGTCCATCAGAGATTCGTTCTGAAGAATTATCTATGATATCCCATGTGGAGATGTCCTCTAAGACATTCCATTATCCACAAACCTCCTCCCAACCCAGACAAAGGAAAGAATCCTGTTTGGACTGCAAGCTGGGCCTTAGAATTGGGTGGAGGGTGGGGAGTATTGTTTTAGGCTCACAACAGGCAGACAAAGCTGCTGGCCAGACCATGTTGTGGGTACAGAGAGCTGGGTTCCAATGCTTTAGACAGGAGAACTGTACTAGGACAAGGGGGCATAGAGAAACAAAAGCCCCCATGTTAGGAGCCTCATCAAATCCTGGAAGTCCTCCGGAGTACCTGGGAACAGATGGACCACTGAGCAACAGCCCTCTGACACACGTCCTCTCACCAGAACTCTCCATCCTCTGCTGTCTTGTCCAGCTCTTCCTTCTTCCGGGGATCTATGTGATTCCACTCAGGTGCACTGTGGAGGTGAAAAATGAGCCAGACAGAGGTGGTCATTGCCCAGATGCAAGCTGTGTACCACAAACGGATGCCTGTCCATCAAGGAAAGAATATGGGCTTGGACCTGGTATGAAGCAGTGTACTACTGGAAGAAGCCGAGGATGTGGGCCCCTGCAGGGTGGCCTGAGCATGCAGCAGAAACGAAATGGCTGTATTCTAATTTTCACTCCCTGGGTAAGTTCCACATTCAGATTAAGACTCACAGACCTCTGACCAGAGGAACAAGGAGGTACTGTCACAAGAAAGGCAGGTACTCCTGTACCATTCATAACTTGCCACTCTCATCTTCTATCAGACTGGGGTGGATTTATTTAAAAGAGGACCCAGCCAGCTCCGGGGACAGAGACACTGTCCACTCCCTAAGTCTACCGCTTTGATCATGGGACCCAGTTTTATGGAAATTTCCTTGAGTAATGTCACCCGGTATCCTGCTGGTGGCTTTTCTGTGGCAATATCCATGTACTTTGTTCAAATGCCATCCACAGCTGCCTGACCTTTACAGCTTTGGGTTTTCCTGAAATGCATGTGCAATACCTACATAAGTGAACAGTGTTAGTATCAATCCTAAAAACAAACAAAGTCTCTCCCTGAACACACTCAGCAAAAGCCTCTCCCCACCCTCCTCAGCCAAGAAGACAGCCCGGCCCAGCCTCTCCCTCCAGCTGGCAGAGTGTTCTGGGGCTTCTAAAAGTCAGGAAAACATTCATTTAGTCAGTACTAAGTCCCACAGTGTATCTGTGACAAGCAAAAGTTAGGGGATCTGATTAGGGATTCTAGACCTAACCTAACCTCCCAATAGGTTTGATTTTTGTTGTTATTCTTGATTTTCAAACTTAAACAACAGCAAAAAGCAGGTGGATGCTAACTCAGTTCAGACTCAGAGTTTTCTTCTTCTCCAACTGCCAGTAGGGAAATAGCTCAGACTGTGCCTCTGGCTGGTAGAGGATGTCAGGAACATGGATGTCGAAGTACAGCCACTCCAGGCCCTCATTTCCTTGAACTGATTTTCCTTAAAGATTGTCCTTCCACCCTGTAATCAACGCCCATCTAGTCAGGAACTCGTGGAGTGATTGAAACACCTTGTTCATCGCAGCCTGGGTGGTCCATGGCTCCCAAGATCAAGGTTCCCCCAATACCTTTGTTCTTTGTTGGTACTGAGGGGAACAGTGTTTGTGACAGGGAAATATCAGATTGCAAGTGACTGATCTCACCTGGTAGGTAAGAAATAGGTAAGCCTTCAACACTAGGCAAAATTCCATGGAGCTGCCAAATTTCCAAGTGCCAAAGCAGAAATCCACATTCAAAAACTGCAATGAAGTGGTTTCTATTCTGTTTTCCCATCCTTGAACCATGGGATACTATTTCCATAACACACTATGCAATCAGCGGACAGTAAGTACAGAACACACCAAACACTGGACCTCATTGCTTATGGTGTATTACATGACACCTTTATACAGAAAGAGCTGAGCACTGGGAAGGAGAGATGAACCTACGCATCACTCCAGGCTCCTGACCATTCCACTTCACCCCATGGGTTCCTCAGTCTGATCAGCTTCTCTGGGCGGCCACGGAAATCCACCTGCAAATCCACACAGGCAAATCACCACACTGCTGCTGCCTGACACACATGTCTGTACTCAGGACATTCAGTGTCAAATGTCTCCAATAGTTGACACTTTCTTTTTCTTGACACTTTCTTTTTCTTGCCATGCTTGTTTTTAAGCTTTGGTCAAACACTTCGTTTTTCGCAGGCTATTTGAACAAATGAAGAGTGAATCTACCATGAAACCAACGATATATCTACTTAAACTTAGGTTTATATTTTGCAGTTGATGAACTTGGACCTTGTTCTGATGCTGTTCAGAGTCAGAATCCTACTCATGCCCCCATAAATAATGCCAATAGCATGGAAGTTAACATTTATTGATTGCTTATTATTGGGTTATGCACAGGGCTAAGCATTTCAAACACATGATTGCTTTTTTAAAACTTCACACTTTGATCTCAACAATATGAGACTCAGAGAACTCAAGATTACCTAGATAGCCAAATAGCTATCCCCCCCCCTCAAGAAAACTCATTAGACTTGAAAATAAAGGAAATTTGGGGGTCCAGGAAGTTCCTGAAAGTTACAAGATTCACAAAACCCCTCCCCAAGGTTATAAAAGCAATGAAGAGTTGCAAGGTAAACATTGAGTCTTCATCAGGTACTGCTGTAAGTCAAGCAAGGAGTTCCGCCCATGAAGTTTTCATGTGGCTTTCTGGTGGCATGGCTGCATTTGAGTTATCCCTGCTCCTTTAAGCAACCCTAATACAACCCCTGATTCCCCGAGGTGGATCTGAGTAGAACTGTTTCTTTGAGCTGCCTTATCTGTGGTGAGTTCATGTTTTCCACATCTCTCCAGGAAAAGGGGAGGAGCCTAGCAGAGGGTCTCCAAAGCTTACATGGATAAATTCCCTCAGGAACTTGTAAAATTTGATCACCACTGCTGTGGGCTCTGCAGGAGGGGCTTTGAAGAGACTAAAACTTGACATGGGGTCAATATCTTTCCTATGAGCCTGAGTTCATCTGGTGTGAGTTCTCATTCTCTCAGGACTGGATTGGCTGTTCAAGGTCTTATAAAGCAAATCCCCTCTTGTTGTGTTTCTCTTCTGAATCCTTTCATATGATGCTGCTATGAAGCCACATGAAGCTATCCAGTGTTAGACTTCCTAGCCTCCAGATGCATGAGATAAAAGCAAATAAACAAAAAACTCTCTCTTTTATAAACCACCCAGATCCCAGTATCATGTTATAGTAACAGAAAAGGACCAAGATACTACCTCATGCTACTATTTAATGAGCACTCAAGTATGGTCCCCGTGCACTGTCTAGGTTAATGTATTTTACCTTTCTCTTACTGTCCACTTATATCTATGCTTTTAACTATAAACCAAATTATTTAAATCCTATTTGGATGTAGGTAGACTATATGAAATAAAAATCATGACTATTACAGGTTGTGCTGGGGGCAGAGAATGGAGAATATCTATGTGTCTTCTCATTGTTAAAACATCATAAACACTGAGTAGAAACCACTTCCTTTAGGGACTCCTATGGGTTTTACTGCTTTACCTACATGGAAATTTGTTTAGAATGTGTGTAGAATCTAACTGATGGTCCCTATAACTTTACTGACCATACCTCAGAAAAAAAGTTAAATTTAATTGAAACCAGAGAGATATAGTGAGGATGGCTGTGCTCTGAGAAGCTAAGAGTTGAGGGCACCCTGTAGTGAACATGAGTTAAGCATAAAAGCTCAAAGACAACTCAATGTGATCTCCTACTTCTTTCTTAGGACACCCCAGATTTCATAAAAACCCCTTCCTACCTCTTCGACTCCAGTAACAGAGTATGCATGACCCTTAACCAGCTTTTGCTTGGTGGTAGCTTCCGCTTCGGCTGCACTTGAGACCTGGTCAAGAAGAGAGTCCAATTAGGGAGGCTGACCCTGACCTCTTTGGAGCCAGTACGACAATGTTTTCTAAAAGGACACCATATATCCAGGGCTCTCCCAGGTGGGAAGAGTGCAGGGGCAGCAACCATCCACAGAGAGACCCATCTCTAGATACTCCCTTTAATAAGCCAAGCAAGTAGTGAGTGGCTGCTGAGCCCAATTGAGAGTATGACTGAGAGCATAGTGACTGCCTCAGAACAATGCAAACAAACAAATGAAACTACCCATTACGACATCCAGAGAGGAAAAGAGAGCATCTCCGTAGATAACAACCAGCCCTCAGGCTGATGACTTCCAGATCTGATCTCTAAGGCCAAATAGGCATTCCACACAGCCAATCTTCCTGTCAGGGCTGGACCTTCCTCTTTCCTTCAGGGAACTCTAAGTACATCAAATAGTATCAGCTGACAATTTGTTTTCCCAAAGACTAAGATGATTTAGCAAAGAGATGACAAGTAGATAGGAACTAGGATCCAGGGGATGAGGCTACACTCTCATGAGGAGTTTAGCCATCCTAAAGTAGTTCCAGCAGTTACTAGCAAAGCATAACCTTAAAATGTGACTATCCCTACTTCCCACCACTCACTAGGCCTTCACCAGTCCCAGAACACTGTAAACCAACATGTCACCAGAGAAAAGAGGCAAAGAGAAGACTAGAGGCTCACATCAATGGAACAACCCAACAGAGAGCCAGCTCGGAGGGCTTTCCTGATGATGTGGTACAGAGCGCCTGGAGGCTTCCTCAAGTCATAAAACTCAGAGATGCCACCTGTGAAATCTTCAAATCCCTCAATTGTGGAGCCTCCAGCAAGAGCCTCATAGGAACCATTGAGCCTGTTGAAAAAAGAAAGAAAAGAAACTCCATCCACAGCCACAACAACCCAATAAGGGAACCATGGGACATCGAAAGGGACAATGCCAGGACATAGGAGAGAGGGCATTGAAAGACCAAGTGTTTTAGACAGACATCCCAGGATTCCACTGGGAACAGATCCTCGGGCAGCCACTCTCCAGGCCTCCCACTCCCTTTCAAAACCAAAACCCCTTCCAGAATTGGCCCTGACTGCTTGGGTTTCTAGGTAGTCCTGGCACAGTGATGAATGGGGAGCTTTCCCTTGAGGCTGGGAGAGAACTGTTAAGGATTGCCCTAAAAGAATGAGAAAGTTACTGGGGTGTCAGAATAGAGTGACAGCAAACAAGACCAATTCAAAGAAGCCTTTGACCTTGAATGTCAATCAGGAAAATGACATTCAAGAAATGAGCAGAAACTTTGTTAAGTTTGATAGCTAAAAGGATTTCTTTTCTTCATCACTATCAGCAGCATTTAAACATTCATTCCGCCCAAGATCTTACCTTGGGGTCTGAGAGAGGAAAATATAATGGCTAGACATTCTTAAAACCAGGGCCTTATGCATGCTAAGCAAGCACTCCACCACTGAGCTACATCTCCAGCCCCAGAGAAGAGATCTTAAGTTCCCAGCCCAAATTTCCATATCTCTTCAGAGGGGTGCTGACATCCAGAGGATGTCTGGATCCTGGGAAAACCTTGGTCATCTCACTCTGAGTGGGAGGGGGCAGGTGAGAACCTTCAGGAGGCCCCAGCGTCTCCCGGTTCCTTACCATCTCACTTACTTGGCATAGGCTTTCTCCAGCAGAGCGCTCCAGAATTCACTGCCTTCTTCTGAGTGCAGAAAGAGCAGCTGTCCATTCTTGGTGGGGAGTCTGTCGTCAATGACCACATCCACCCACTCTCCATACTGCCAGAACTAGGGGTGGGAAAACGCAATGTGGACCGCATGCAGAAACAGAGAGAGGTCCTTCAGTAGCCTCCCTGGATGGGGTCTCTGCTGTTGGTGAGCTAGTCTCTAGGCTTGTGAACCTTAAACACTTCATCCGCACACAGGAGATGCTATATCACCCAGAGAGCCAAAGTAGGTGACTCAGACTCACATCTCCTGGTCCTTAGTCTAGAGTGAGTCCCCTCATGGCCCCATGGCCTAGAGGAAGAAGGAAAGCAAATGAGGGGGCTTGAATAGACGTGTAAAGGGATGGTTCTCAAACTGGAGTGTGTACCCAAATCACCCAGGGTACTAGTCTGGAGTAACAACTAAAATACAAAAGTGGTGGCAATCAACGCCTAATACCTGGAAATGAAAAATGCCTGCGTAGTTCTTCTGGAAGCTCTGGTCTGGGGGGACCACTCGGTAAAGCAGCTTTTCATTCAAGGTGAGGGAGGCAATGGCTGCCAGAAGCCAACAGTCACCTGCAAGGAATCAGAAGAGACAACAGCCAGTCACTCTGTCCCAGTTACTCCAGGGTTCATGTCCCTTGTAGACTGACTTCAGCTGTAGGACAATTCCCGAGAGTGGGTTATATGTAAACAACATAAATGTATTTACCTAAGTCCAGGAAACTTGCAGAATCGGTACCCGTGAGAGCCACTCTCTGTTTCTACTTCTCTACTTGGTGCTGTGTTCAGGCATGACAGAAAAGACCTGGCTCATTCTCCCACCCCATTAGAGGAGCACTGTTGCCTAAGGCCCTCTTCTTAGTATGATCACACTGGGCTTGCAGAAGGACACAATCAACCAAAGAATGCAAGGCCATTCTTCTGAGCCATGAGCTCCTGAGGTGAGCCCCACTAGGAGGGCTTTACTCAAGCAGGGAAACTGCTCATCCCTATTGCTGAGCCTCTCTTGCGTGCTGACCTCTTCACAGTTCCTAGGCTCCCAATCAATGGGATAGAAAGAGAAAGAGAGAGAGAAATTTGTTCTTTTGCCTCATTTGTTGTTAACTCAGATGTTTTTGGTTGGAAGAAACACTAAAGCATAAGGTATGAGAGTGAGTGAGTGAGTGAGTGAGTGAGTGAGTGAGTGAGTGAGTGAGTGGCTGGCTGTCTGGCTGGCTGAATGAATGAATGAATGAATGAATGAATGACGGATACTTTCCCACTGTAGCCTTGGGTAATGACAGTTGATGCTGCATGATGTGTAGAGTATCATGGCTCTTTTATATTTCAGGGTTCACATGAAAGCCTTGGTTACAATACCCTGGAGATAGATTAGCATGGAATCATCATAATTTGAAGCAGAAGAAATGGGAGCCAAGCGAGGTTTAACATCCCAGGGCATGGTGTTGGTCACTTTGAATGTCTGAGTAAGTTTAGAAGCAGAGAGAAAACTCCCCTCTGTGTGAGACTGACACCCTCCAGCCCCCAAAAGCCACCTCCTGAGATAGCATCACTGACTCCCAGTGACAACTCCAAATGATGAGTCACAGGCCCCAGACACTAAATGCTCACCGGAACCTGCTAGCAGGAGGGACAAGCATCCTGGAGGCTGTATCATTTTGCTGACACCTGTGTAGATGTTTGTGGTACTGCAGAGTCTGAGGGCAAAATGTCCTTAGTGTCCCTCACATTGTATAAAACAATATGCCATCATACTGTCCAATCTGCCTCTGTCCAGCTTCACTGCAGACCACAAGCCCTAGGAGTCTGGGGATAAGAGAAGCAGTCCTTGTTTCTCTTATTCATTCTGTTCTTCTAGCTCTATCATCTCCTTGTGTGCTCCAGGCACCACTGTCCCCGGGTGAAACATTAGACCCTCTCAGCCTCAGCCAGAGAAGCCCCTTTCTGCAGTAGACACCAGAGCAAACTCCGTTAGTCAAGTACTGACACCAAGATCCTGTTGAGTGCTCAGTCCTAACTGGGACATATATGTCACTCCGTCCCCCAGCAAGGCTCAGAAAGCATTGCAGAAGGCAGAGCAGAAAGATTATGCAAGCCAGAAGGTGGGGAGGAGTGCTGTGGAATGCTGTCTCTTAGACACAGCAGAGCCATTGCATCCATGAAGTCAGCACTCTGGTTCCTGCAGAGTCAAGTGAACAAAGTCAGTCAACAACCATTGCACAGCACTAGTTAGACTCAGTGAGTATATTTGTTAAAGGGAGGGAGGAAAGGAGGAAGGGAGGAAGAAGGCTCAATGGTTAAGAGAACTCTCTACTCTTGCAGGGGACCTAGGTTTGGTTCACAGCACACACATGGTGGCTCACAACACTCCTTAACTCTAGTTCCAGGGATTCTATGTCTTCTTCTGATCTCTGCAGGCATTACACACACACACACACACACACACACACACACACACACACACACACACGCATGAACTTTTTGAAGGATTTTTCTGAATTTTGAATTAAGTAACCTGATCTTTATCATAAAACTCTATCCCTCAGACTTATTACAGGGATCCAAGGTGAAGTTCAAGATGAGCATGGAGATGGCACCTGTATGAATGCATTGGGCTACATTGCTCCATACTACAGAAAACTTCAGAAGCGGTGAAACACGGTTAATAAACAAGTTCCCAAGAGTGGAAACATATTCCTTCCTCCCCACCTGGTTCCCCTCAGCTCAGTTTCTTCCTATGAACTCATGGTATGATGTCATTTCTTTGCCTTTCTTTGCCTAGAAACAACAGGCAAACCTTCCCCAGGGTGACTCCGCCCCTCCTGCCTGGCCTGCCTGGTCTCTCTCCCACTGTGAGTTTAGCTTCCACTCAAACATAGAAAGCAGAGCGAATGCTCATCATTTCCCCTGCCTTCCCTTGCTTATTTGTTCTACCTGTCTGTACAGTGCTTACTGCAACCTCACCAGTTGGGTCTTCAGCCTCCCCACAAAGCCTGTCTTAAGGTTTGTTCAGACCACACCTTATTTCTTCTTTGTATGTTCTTCAGACCTTATTTATGCCCCCTCATCTGATCATTGTCAGCGCAAAAGATGGGCTTCTAAGTCCACTTACACAGAGGCTCCATGAGGGTACGTTCCTTGCTATCTCTTATTAACCCCAGACTCCCAAGCCCTCCCTCCCTCCTAACCACTGCCAAGGCCACCTGATACACACATCTCTCATCCCTGTTCCTCTCTGATCTCTTCCTGCCAAGCAGGGACATGGATTCTCTCTTGGTAACATCCCTGGCAGTATCTGACAAATACAGGAGACCCAGTAAATTTTAACAAATAAAAACATGTCAGCAAATGACCAAAGGAATGAATGAATCATGTTCTGTGTCTGTATGAGTCAACGATAGCACCCACACATGTTTACCCCTGGCAATCCCAGGTCTGGGCTGAAGTAAACAGGGCCATGCATTGAACCTCACAGATGACACCTGCTCTGCACCAAGATGCTTGGCTACTCAAAACTCTGCGGCAGAAGACAGCAGCTGAGTTGGGCATAGTCCCTGAGGGAAGGGACAGAAGGAATACTCTGTGGTGTCTCTGAAACAGGTGGCTTTTTCAAGGAGCCCAAAGAGGCTCCCTTCTGTTGTGAAGATGCACACTCCCAATCTAAGCTGCCCCAACAACCCACTCCAAGCACTTCCCAGACATTCCAATAAAGTTCGGTGGCCAACATCTAACAGGTCTGCCCAGCCAAGAAAGAGTTTAATGTTTTCTTTCTCTTCCCTGCTCCTGACATTTTGCAGGGTCCACCCAGCTGCTGCAGTAAGCACAAAGAAATGCCATAGGTATAGACATTTGGGTCCCTGTCAATTACTACATTAAGTGTGAGTGGACGTTCTTTACAGGATGCTTTTTCTAAAATGCCCAAATGAATGTGCTTTCTTTCAAAGGTACTCCTTGGAAGAACAGATGTTTACTCTCCTGTTCAAAATGCATTAAACACTTGTTTGAGGGGCCTACCTTGATGGTTGAGCAGTCATGAAGTTTTGGGATCTATGTTTGTTGACAGACGAGGTAGACAAGAAAGCCTGAGACTGTCTCCATAGACAAACGCCTTCCCTCCAGCCACCTCCCAGCTAGTGATCATCATGGGTTAGCATTCCTAAGAACTTAAGTTTGAAGTGGGAATTTGATAAAATCACCTGCTTTACTGATGGAGTGTGGTAGATTTGCTACCAGAATCTTTCTGCCCATTCCTCCCCAGTCCTCTTACCTTGGAAATGCCTCTTATGCCTGGATATCCAGAGACATCTCATAAACCCAGGGCTACAATGTGGAATGAAAGTCAACATACTTGAAAGAACAGAGCAGAAGCCCAGTAAGTGTTTGGGTTTCTAAGAACTAGCCCAGGGCTACTCACCTCCAGACTCCTATCACAAAAGAGATATCAGCCCCTTATCACCACTTGTTCAAATCACTATGGTTAGCTTCAACAATGCTTGCAGCCAACATTTTCCTGATATAATAACAAAGTGACTAGTATGCCTTGCAAATTGGTTCTGAAAAAACTCCGCTAAAGGAGTTCTTTAAGCTATCAGGGACAGTTGAAATATGCACATTGTTCTATATACTGGCTGGGCTGACTGTTCTGGGGATCCTGGCTAGGATGTCTGTCTGATCTAGAAAAAGGATCATAGAGTGTGGAATTACAGAGAGTAACATTTGCATGTGGACCAATCCACAGAAACAGGGATGAGGAGTATGCTGAGGAAGCCCAGGCCTCTCCCTCAACCCCAGCAAGCATAGATATGCTTTGGGGAACAGAAAGGATGCTTCTGTGGGGGATTATGATGGTCAGTTTTAATTGTCAATGTGATAGTCTAGAACCACCTTGTAAGAGTCAGTGAGGAACTGTCTAGATTGGGTTGTCTGTGGATATGCCTTCCTCTCTCTCTCTCTCTGTCTCTCTGTCTCTCTCTCTCTCTCTCTCTCTCTGTGTGTGTGTGTGTGTGTGTGTGTGTGTGTAGGGAGGGTTCCTTGCTTATGATATTGATGTAGGATGACCCAGCCTAAGAATGGATGGCATCATTTCCTGGCTTTGAGTCCTACGCTGCATCAGAGTGGAGAGCACAGAGACAGCAATCATACATTCTTTCTCAACTCTCAATAGCAGACATGACCAGCAGTTTCAGGTTCCTGTCTTGACTTCCCCACAATGAAGGATTGGAACCTGGAATTGTAGCCAAATAGACTTTTTCTTCCTTGAAGATGCTCTTGTGGGCATATTTTACCACGGCAACAGGAAATGAGACTAAGACAGCAACCTAGGCATCTCTGTCTGTTTTTTCCTTACTGTAACAGAATACCTAGCCTGGGGGTTTCTACAGGGAAGGGCTACAGTTAGCTTGTGGTTCCAGGAGTGTGGGAAACCCAAGAGCATGACACCAGCAAATGTCTGGTGCTGCTTCTACTCATGGCAGCAAGCAAACAGGCAAGTCAGAGCATGCAGAGGAGAGGAAAGGTCACTGTCCTCGAACCAGCACGTGGCAAGAGTCTCAGTGGGGACTGACTATCCAAAC